AAATTATGAACATTTCTCTTTCCAACAATATGAAGGTCCAATTTTTAGTTTTTGAGATATTTAGACTTCAATTAGACCACTCCCGCTGACATTATCCGAGCGTTGCACATCGGAGATCTGACGGCTCAATCTAATCCCCTCTCCACATAAAAGGTAAAAAACGCATCTAAAGAATTTTCACTTTAAAAAATCGTAGGTTTCGTAGGTGGATGTTAATAATTAGATAAACAGTTATCTGTACTACGGGCTATGACTACATTAAAATAAAATTACACACGACATCATTAGCCGTACACGCATCGATACGGATCGATATCTCCAAGATCTACACGACAGCTCATACGTGGTCAATTTGCCGTACGACACGTATACAAGGTAGTTAGCCTGGCGCATTAATATATCAAATTAATAAGAGAATTATGACGGGACAAGTACTACGTGGTGAGATGGTAATAATTCAAGATGTTGGAGCAGAGGAGAGTATCGGAGCACCTACAGCAACTCCATTCAGTCCGCCCTTTTACAGTCTCACAGTTTACGATCAGGCGAGCTGTTAATCAATTTTGTAACAAATACCATTCTTTATGGGCCCATCAGCAAAACCTTTGTTTTCAGCAACAAAAGAATCTGCAACAAAACCTGCATCGGCAATCTACTCAATGTCTTGAGCGTTTTGTTTTAGTGCGCAACCCAACCATTCAGCATTCTAACAATCGGCAAAAGTAATTCATTTATAAAGAGCTGGGTGGTCGGCTCTATGTTAATTTTAGGATTGCATGGTCTAACAAGAAAGTATGGTTGAATTTGTTTTAATTTGGTTTACTTTAAATAATTAACTGTCTCTCATCGTCAGTAGCAGTAAAAAAAAAAAAAGCCTGAATATAAACTATGAAAGAATTTCATTATTGAATCAAGAAGGAAAAAATGACAAATGTTTTTTTTTTTCTGGTTGAAAATATGTACGTTTAATATATCGTTGGGAAGCTGAGGGTTTCAGAAAAAATAATGGATAGCGTTGAAAAAATTATCTCTCTATCACATAAAAAAGTTTTAAGTGACTTTCATATTTGATAATATTTTTGTATTATAATTATAGTAGATAACAGGAGTTCGGTGATTATTTTACAAATTATATAGCTGTTCATTTAATTACATATGTTTTGAGCTCCTGTTACCACTTACTTTCCTATTACAAAATAAAAAGATTTTAGACTAAAAATTTGTATGTTGATAAAAACAAAATACAATACGAACTACACAAATACATGTAACTTAAAGTTATACAATTTGAGCTATGAGTAGTACAATTAAAAGAACAGTTGTGTATTCTGTAAAATGGGACAGGGGGTACCACCAAGTAATTAATAATTTCCTGAAAACAAATATTATTTAACGGGAACCAATTGTTTACATTAGGAAATTAAGTGAAAATTCCTAACTAAATGTAAAATTTTAAAATTACTTTCAAACTTGAAAAATTATACATATCATACTTATGTAAAAGTAGAAGTGAAATATAAAAATATTTCATGGATATGTAAAACATACGTTTATGGTCTTAAATACATATTCTATAGTACAATAAGTTTATATCAGACAGTATATTTAAATAATCGGGCATTCTTTGTCGGTTTATTCCGAAAATTATTACGTAACGTTATAGAACATTAAATTAATAAATAAGTTGATGAATTTTTCCTCCGTTAAATCAAAATGAAATGAATTCGCGCATAAACGGAAAATGAATTATCCACTTATAATAAGTTTGCCAACTTTTGACCAATGAAAACCAGGTAGGTAATGAAAACCTCGTACCATCTTTCTTTAGAAAATTTTACAAGAGAAATAAGAATTTAATAACATGTATAGTGTTATTCAGATTTAGTTTATGTTGTCATATTTTACAATCCTCACTCTTTAGTATTATCTCTTCTATATAGAGCTCAGAGACTAGAGTTATGTGGTTCAAAAATCCAGATGGAGTTACGAGGTTTTACAGCCTACCGTTGTTATAATTAACATGATTTATGTTATTTTAATGATCTCAATGGATTTTTACAGTTACTTACTTAGCTGTGAGGTTTAAGCTTTAGCTCCGTCAAAAATGCTCTTTAAAAACTTTGTAATAGTTGTGTGATGGCGTGCACCAGATTTTTTAAATAATTTATTGCTTATGTTTCTTGTGATATGGACTACATTCCGGTCTTCAATGGACAAAAATAAATCGAAATATCTTAATGGTCATTTTTTAACGTTATAGTAGTTTTAGATATGAAAATAATATTATTAATTAGTTTTTGTAAAAAAAAAAAATTCTATAACTACCACTTACCCACAATATGTTGAAGATGTAAAATTAATTTAAGCATCTACCAATAAAAATAGATAATATTAATGTTCTGGTTGGGAATCTTTACCAGATGGTAATGTTTTTTGTGTTTAAAATTCTATCAACATTTACTTTAGTATTATTATTTTCGGTATTATTTATTTTTTTTATTTTAAATAGAGTGAGAATGTGCTCTCTGAGCACTATTATAAATGCCCTTAATTGTGACAGATTGTAATATTTCTGAATAAAGAAATTTAAAAAAAAATTCTATCAAAGTTTGTGGCCAAATTCTAAACATAATTTCCAAAAATAAAAGTTTATTTGATGCATGGGTCGATTCCGAAAAGGATTTAAGACTAATTTTATATTTTTCCTATTATATTTATTTTATTTTTTTTTTTAAGCTTATTTATTGAAATATATTACAATCTGTCTCAGGGACATTAATAATAGTGTTCACAGATCACATTCACACTCTACATTTATTATTAAGGTTGTCACTTTGATTACTGAATAAGAAAGAATTTCTCAAAAACTGTTCAAATTCTAAGTACACCATCGTAAATTAGAAAAAAATTCATTTGGCAAAATAGTTAATAAATTAAGTTTATTAAGGTCAATGCTAAAAGGGACATTCATGAGGTCTAATACGGCTGCTGTTACAGCAGTATCCAAACTCGAGCACTTTAAATAAATTTAAATAAATTTTAAACTTTCATTTAAACATTTTTTTTTTCATTGAGGAGAAGTTGGTGATCAGTGGGGTGTTCAGTCAAAAAGTAATACAGTAAAAATAAATAAATTATATTTAATTTTATTTTTGCCGATGTTTAGACCCAAGGTTCAGGCATTCATCTTGGCTGTTCTCACGAGAAGCTGCTTTAAGACCATTTTTATTTTTATTTAATGGTGTGTTATTAAAGTAAATATTTAATAAAAAGTTAGTTTATCGTAAAAATAGATCTAGGTATGACACAAATATAGTATACTGACAATTTACAATTTGATTCTCTCAATGGCAAACTTGTTACAATTTTTTAAAATATGTATATCTTTCGAACAATTTTAGAATTTGAGTAATATTTTTTGTTATTATGCTCCTCAAATAAAATTACTCTAACTTTTATAGTATTCTTCTGCCTAGACCTTAGATTCTGCTTTACGTATTTCAGCTCATTTGCTATATATGGAGTTGCCAGAGGTGCCGAAATGTAGCGAAGACAATATTTTAAAAAAATATCGTTTATATATATATATATATATATATATATATATATATATATATATATATATTCCAAACCAACATAATCTAGTTCAAAATTCACTCCATCCTATTCGGTGACCTTTAATAAGTACTAAAGGTATATGTAATACCTATTAGTTCTTATTTATATGCACATGGAAAATATACATATGTTACGACCAAGGCGAGTTTTACAACTATTTAAAAAACGTTTAAAGTATTATTTATATTTTTAATGAATATTCTATCGAAGATTATGAATAGTTTCGTAAAATAGAAGAACGTAGAACTTAATACACCAACCATATTTAACAACAAGGCTTTTTGTTGTCATGAAAAATTGGTCGGACAAAAGCGTTTCACGTATCAATCGATTAAGTTATAAAATCGATCTATAAAAATCAATCATCAGCATTTACCTATTTCATATTGTTTGTCTTTTACGGAATTTTGTCCCCAAAAAGATGCTTTCGCTCCACTTCGGAGTGGTCTATTTGATATTTTTTATACCTCTTGGAAGAGGAGGACCCTTCCTCTACGTATTCTTCTGGTTCTTGGAGTCTTACAATCCATTAGCGGAGTGATCTGTGTTGCGTCCAATTTTGTACCAAAACTTGATGGATGACGGAGTTTGGGGAATTTTTTTAAGGAAAGGAATGCAATGACAACTGATACATTTGAAATCAAAGCCATTATTAGGATGTTATATATTGCAGGAATTCATAAAAAATAAATAAATAAATAAAACAAATAAAAAAACCTCTTTAAAATATTTTAATACGAGAGTAAATTGTGTTAATAATAAGATTAGTAAATATATTTTATGTGATAATTATTAATTTAATTAACACTGCAAATTATATATTTTAGTATTTTGGAATAGATTTATCAACTATGAACGTTTTTTAAATTTTGATAATGATTTTTTAAAAAGATTTTATGAATATATTTTGTAGAAAGAATTTTTTCTTTATGTGGGAGGGCGTAGAATCTTCGCCCACTGAAACTGTCTGAGCACATTCTTCTAATCAAAGTGACAACCAGAACTAAAAGAATGTGGTCCACGAAAAATGGCCCCTAAAAAAATACTCATTTTTTTATTTTTATTTAATGTAGGTAAAATTTTAAAACTTTATACAATTAACAATACATAGTTCCAGATTATTTTTATTTTAAGAGGAATTTTTTCCTCCCTAAATCACTTTCTTATATTTTGATGTTTCATATACTTTTAAAAAGAGAACTGGAAAATAAAACATTTACTAATAATCATTACTGAATTTTTTTAAATTGTAGCTCCTTCATTAAAAAATAAATAAAGCCAATTAATGTGTATGAGCTTTTAATTTTGTAAAAAAAAATACATTTGTCAAGGATTGGATAGAAAAGAAAATTGGATAATAATCAACTGGCAAAGAAACACAATATCCTTAAATATATATTTATTTTTTTTCACAAATCCTTTTCGTCTTAAAAGAAAAATTATCAACAAATTTAAGAATCTGTGGAAATTCAAAATCTTAAAACAAAACTATTTTCTAATTTTATCTAAATTATAACAGATATAAAAATTTGTACAACAATATAAAACTTATGTACAAGAACATCACAAAAATAATTCATTTGGGTCCTTATAATGTAGCACTATACACTGACTTACATGTGCGTCTTTTGAAAAACTGTTATTAACATAATATGATATTTTTTATTTAATACAGTTTTTTTTTACGAATTTTGAAATTAATATTGAATCTAAAAAATTATGTAGATTTTAAAATTTAAGTTACGAAAGTCAAACATAAATACATGAATAAGACACCGCTGATGGTTATAAAAGTAATCTGAATAAAATTAAAAGCGAAAATTGCACATTTTTCAAAAAGATTTTATTGAATATTGTCAAAAAAATAAAACAACCAAACTTAATAACTACATTTGATTATCGAAAGAACAGAGATCAGTCTGAGAGACGAATAAAAAATTATAAACTTTATATAGGCACTTAAATACAAATAAATTATAAAAATACAAAAAAAAGATGTTTTTAAGGTAGAAGAATATATTCTAAAAATTACAAAATATATTATAACCAGATGATATTATATAAAACTTATTATTATTGTATATATGTTTACAAATTTGTAATTATTAATTAAATTTAAGTACAACGATCACATGTAATCACTCTCATCTTAACCTTAACTTAATAACTAATTATTTTATTATAATAAATGTTCATTTTGATTTATATAATTTTTTGAAAACTTTAACATAGATCACTGGCGGCGTAACTAGGGTCAGATGAAGTTAAATTTCTTTAAAGCCTCTTTAATTCGACCATTTAGGAAAGAAGGAAAATAAAAAATGTCGACTTCTTTCCTTCAAGATTCTTATACGTCTTGAAGAGGAAATTGAGTATTTACATAGAAAAAATATGACAGAACTTTGAGTTGTAGTAGAGTTCAAGAAATAAAGAACCCATATGAGGTTAATGCTGCACATGTTAAATAAAAAAAAATCATTGAAATCACCATGTGGTAGGAGGTGTGATGTGAACTCAATATTCAATAAAATAAGATTTTTTTTTTTTTTTTATAATATTTATAATAGTGTTTTATTGGATTGGAAAAGTAAATAAATATACTCAAAATTATTAGTCGATTGAAGTATAGTAATCTCTCTAGCTTCTTTTGAAGGCAAGTTCTAAGCAAAATACTTAGGTCTTTGCTAAAAAATATAAAAATAAAAATAATGTCATATCATTGTACCTTGGGCTGGCCCAAAGTATTGTACAATAATATATATTCAATATTTATCTAAGTTTTGTTCCCCTAGTTACGCCTCTGGTATTGATAAACAAAGAAACATCTCTATTTATTCTTAATTATTTAATTTATTTTATTTTAAAATATCTATCAGCAAAATTTAAACAGAGCGGAATAGTATATCAGATAGAATCTGGATGCAGTTTAAATCCTTGGTTGACAAACAATATTTACTGAAGCAGAATTTTTAGCGATTCGTCAGTTCCATGATAGTGATGCAACATGAGGCCTGACCAATTGAGGCAGAGAATGCCAAAATTACCCAAATTAATTTTCCAATTTTTTTTTTATTTTTAAAAAAAATTCTTACTATATTATTGTAGAGTGAAAGGATTTCATATCGCTCGTAATATAAAATGTATTCCTAATATGTTTAATTTATTATTACTTTCTACTATCATTACTTTATGATTCACAAGGTTTTGTTTTTACATTTTAATTTATTTACTAAGCTTTTCCATTTTAAGATTTAATATTAGCTTATCTGTAAAGAATTGTGATATAACTTACTTTTTATTGTATAGAAAAATACTGTATTGAAATTCTGATTTAAAAAAAATTATCATGTTTATAATTATTATCTATATTTATTTTATTATTTGTAGATTTTCTTATATTTTTAATGTAGGATGTTACCTTTCAAAAACAGTCTCATGTTTAATTTATTTTATGTTTTAGAAAATTTCTGTGCTTCGGAACACATTGATGTAAAAAACATTTTTTTATATGTAAACATCAATGTACATATTTAATACAACAAAAATTCAATTTCATAAGAAGTATGCAGAATCCACATAACTACGGTTATTCTATTCATACTCTTGGATATTGTTTATATCGTCTATCAAGTTTTTTTTTTAATAGGTTGTAGTTATTTTTGAGATCTGAAGATGAAAATGGAAAACCATAAAATAAAATATGAGAATGTTTTTGAAGGATAACAATGTTTGTATGTGTTTGAAATATGAATTAAATATATGTGGTAAAATATTTTATAACTACATAAATACTTTTTAAATAGTCTTCTGAAAGGTTTTTCTGACAGATACAAATAATTTTGATTATTGTCTTGATTTTTTTGTTAATTTTTGCGGATATCTGTGAAAAAATTAAAAAATAGATTTTTTTTTTTGGAAACGCACGCCTCAATGTATAAAAATACTTACGACAATTCTGGAATTTAGGCGATTAAGGCAAAGAATGGTTCTCTCAAAGAATTTGACTCTCTCCGAAGATTATTCATGTATGATTTATGAAATAGAGATGTTTCTGCAGTTTTTAAACAGTTTATGAATTCATGGAAAATAAAACCAACAAAATATAAAAGCAAGTTTCTATACTCAGGGCTAAGAGTCATTTCGCCCATTCAGATGCCATCGATAAGCTTAGCGCTGATTATAGAAACTTGACCTAGCTTTATAGTAATGCGGTATAAGATTGCACAAAAGTTGAAACAAAATTACTAAAACATTAGCCTAAATTATATTTAGAACTTGTCTTCTCTTCGCTGATCATCATGCCGGCTTGTCTGGCGTCGGATCCGGCGCCGAAGAACCAAGGTTGTGCGTCAGACTGTGTCGCCGCAGGTCGCAATTGCGGCGGAAGACTTTGCCGCAGGACGGGCAGTTATACGGCTTGATGTCCGTGTGAGTGAGGAGGTGTGTCTTGAGGTTGGACCTCTGGTTGAAGGACCTGCTGCAGACAGGACACTTGTGGGGAGACTCCTCGAGGTGCAAGATCTTGTGGACCGCCAGGGTCCGAGACTGGCAGAACCCTTTCCCGCACTCCCCGCACTTGAACGGCTTCTCTTTGCTGTGGATGTACCTGGAAAAAAGAATAATGATATAATAAAAATTGTATATAGGTATAAGGAATGGACAACGTAATTATAATACGTAACAAACTATTAAATAACGAGACATTTTATTTTGAATTCATGGATATTTATTCCGTGGTAAAGACCCCTTTTTATCGAATTATTAACATCCTCCTGAAACTTAAATAGTAAATAGTTTCATCTCATCTTAATCTAAAACTAGTGTTGCCTAAATGCGAAACCAATACGAGTCTTGGTCTTGCAAACTCAGTCTTTGTCATGGTCTTGGTCTTGCAGTTGCTTATTAGCTTATTACTATGGACATATTACTGTAATTTTTTAGATAGGAGAAACCTAACTAAGCTGGAATGAAAAATTAGGGGAGTTATACAAAAGTATATTGCTTATACCAATTATTTACGTATAGTAACTTCAGATTTAATTATATAATTATATAGTAACAAGATTTTCAAGTATTAATAACTATTTTGCCTTAATTTTTATTTAAAAAATCGATTTTTTTTACCAGTCCTGGTCTTGGTCTTGCAACAGTAAGGCAAGGCCGATTTTGGGCAACATGTGTATTTACGAGTTTTTAGTAATTAATTAAATAGATAAAGTTTGCCTCCCACCAGATTGAAAGCGCCCCAATCGCATGAGTTTTCGTCCCAATTCGCTAAAAAGGGGGTCTGTACCACTAATTTGCTTATTATGCTCATATTTTTATAACATCTTATTATAATCTTCTCACATATAGGGACGGGATATCTAAGGCCTATTATCGATATTAATTATTTTTATTATATTTAATTAATTATATATTTATTTAATTTTAATAAATTATATATAATATTAATTTAATTATAATATTTAAGGCGATATTAATATTATCCTATCACTATCGAAACCATCAAAATACCAGACTTGAGATAGTCGATATTTTCATCGGTATTATTATTTTTTTTTTTAAATACGAAAATTATAAATGTTGATTCTCTAGAACGTTGGGGAAACAAAGAAAATATTCTTTTCCTCTTTAAATTTATTAATGGAAATATCAACTCTTCTACCCTCCTTAGTAAAAGTAATTTTCTAGTTCCTGTCCATCTTCGTCATACTCAGCTTTTTCAAGAACTTCTCGAAATGCTATTTTATTTGCATCCTACATAGATTTATTTGACAATTTCTGGCATTGGTTTGAGAAGGTTTTAACTAACAAATATGTACAAATTGAGTTTACTGAGTGATTAGGGTCCCACGCGCTCTATTCAACTTTACTTAGGGAAGGTATTAAGGAAAGATAGAAGCCATATTATTGAATTATCGATATTTTCCTCTACTACGCTCTAAATTATATATGAAACAAGCAAGATGGTATATTTTTTTCCAGCAATCAGAATCATATATAACTTATATATATTACTATATAACTTCTATATATAATTTTTTCATTTATCCTAAGGGAGATAGTTATTTTCTAGGTATATAAGTAAAATTATATTTTTCCCAGTGATTTATTCTCCCATTCATTCCACTCAGTTACATCATTATTATTGTCCTATTACTAGAAATTCTATTTTAGTCTCCTCTAGGGAGAGCCTAATCAGATACTGAAAATCTAACTAGTCTCTCCCTAGAGGAGAGTAAAATGGGATTTCCATCAGTAGGACAATAATAAAACAATGTAATTAATATGACACGTCTTATGGAGAATAAGATGATACGGGATACTGTCTGAAGATGGGATATAAGTGGATCCCGAAACGTTATGATGTAATTGAGTGGAATGATTGGGAGAATCACTGGGAAAAATATATTCTTACTTATATTCTATATATAACTTGTATTGCTAAAAACGACAGTTAAATATCAACTATTTAAGCAGACGAATAATTACTTAATTAGATTGTTAAGCAAATTTTGTGCGATGCACGCTACACCAAATGTTTTGTTATTTTAAACATTTTACAGTGCACATTATTTTGAAGTTTCGAATTGTATTTGTTTCCTTTATATACGACGGAACGGATGGCAGCACATAGAGAGCATGATGATGACATTCAGAACCGAACGGATGACCTGGATTAGCAAATCCAATGAAGGAAAATAGCACGCATTAGGAGTAAGCTAGGGGCTGAATTATGGAACAAGTAGCAGCCATCAAAGCATTAGGTCTCTACAAGGCGTTGAGTGGAGAGCTAGCGAGTGGCACATTACTATACGGTAGGCATCCGATTATGGGCGGCGATGTCTGTAACTGCATAATGTATCGATCGAGGACCGCCTAATCTATTTATCGATTTTTGTATATCGAATTATTTATATATCGAGAACATCCTAGATTTCATTGATATAATCTAAAAAAAATAATTTTCCACTGCAATCTTAAAATAATTTTGTCGAGAAATCTAGGTTCGAAATACTTTGGATCATATATATATTTATTTTAATTGAATACTTCTTTAGGCGCTCTTTGATCATTTTTTGAAATGAAAAATAATTTTATTCTGGGACTGAAGTCCCCTCAGAATAATAGTAGAGTTCAAGAACTAAAAAGAAAACCTTTTTCGGTTGGCGCTACAGACCATGAAGATCTATGACCGCGAGATGTGGAAAAATATTCCTTATTTAAGAGTAAGGTCATCAGTCCTACGAACGTTCAGTGTGAGTTGCCTCATACCGGGGTACGGGAATATATATACTAAGGAAAATATAAATATATACAAAATCAAAATCAAATATAACATGGAGAATACAGAAAATGATTTGGGGAAGTCAAACTAGATATTTTTTTCCCTCACTACCGAACGCAGCGAAGCATTGTGTTCATAAGAAAATTTTATACTCAGAACCGAAAATTTCCTCTCGCATTCAGACATAAAGGATCAAATTTGGTTCAGCGTCTGTCCGTAGTCATATCGATGTAACGGGCATATTACTTACTACCATTTATCCGATTTTCTTAAAATTTTCTGAGATTGTTTGTGGGGTTTCTACAGGCACACGCACGCGCAAATGGATCGAGGGGCGCCTAATCTATTTATCGATGTTTATATATCGAATTATTCATGTATCGAGAAGATCCTAATTGATTTTCTTTATATTCTAAAAAATAATTTATAAGAAATAAAATAAAATATAAGAACTATATATGAATCTGATCGATAGAAAAAAAATTATACTCATCTTGCATGTTTCATATAGAATGTAGTGTGTAATAAAGGAAGATATTACTTAAGGAAGATATTATCGACAATCGATGATAAATTGAATAGCACACGTGGGACCGACACTTCTCACTCAGTAAACTCAATTCGTCCAAATTTATTAGTTAGAACCTTTTCAAACTTAGGCCACTAATTTTCAAATAAATCTAAATAAGATATAAATAAATTAGCATGTCACTTAAACCGGTCTATGGGCGGATGGAAGGCATAATTGGTTGAATAGAAATTAATTTTACTAGGAGGGTAGAAGGGTTGATATTTTCATTAAATAATTTCAAGAGGAAAATAACATCTTTATTATTTGTTTATGTGTTAGAGAATCAATATTTCAATGAAAATATAAACTATGGATGTTTAAAAAACTTATATTTGGTATCGATACTTATAACTGCCCTTCGACAACTCCTACGATTCCGTGATTATATTCCTCTAAAAACCAGACAACTCCTTGTAACCTCCCTTGTATTCCCCTACTTGGACTACGCCTGTTTGTTGTATGGGTGGGGGGGAGAGGGGAGGTATCTGCCAGGCTGGAAATGAGACTAAAGAGACTCATGAATTGTTTCATAAGATACATCTTCAGGATTCCCAGGCGTTCGCATGTTTTACTCTGGTACACCGAGTTGAAGTGGCTTTATCCTACTTCCCGACGACAATTCCTCCTTGGTGTTTTCCTTTTCCAAGTCTTCAGAACCAAAAACCCTCCCTACATCCTGGAACTCCTTACTCTACGCACCTCTATCCACTCTCTCAATACTAGGTCTCAACCTATAGACTTATATATTCCCTCCCATAAAACTTCCTCCTTCAGCAAATTCTTCGTCATTCGTGCTGCTTTCCTTATGGAACTCACTTCCTACCTCCATGCGTCAATCCTCGTCCACAAATTCCTTCAAACAACTCTTGTTCCAACACCTACTCCACATTCAAACTTCCCCTAACATGTAAAATTACTTGCATCTGTACAATGTTTAATTTCAATCTATTGCACAATCAAAATAACAATTAACAGTAAATTAGTTTGTATTTGTATTGTCATTTGATACTAAGACCCATAAATTTGTAACTCTGTTATTATTCTTAGGGGACAGTAGTCCCAGAATAAAATTATTTTTTCATTTTCATTTTTTTCATTTCATTTTCATACTTATAAGCAAGAGAACCTATAAATGTGACCGCAGGTGAAAAAAAGATTGGGAACCTCTGTTATAGGCTGATATTAGTATCGATGGCAATATCGATATTGAACTTTAGATACACCATTCCTACTTCGAGAGTGCTTGTTTGAGCGTAAAGATCCTATATTTTCAAATTTCATTTATCTTGTAATCGACTTTCGTAAAATATATCACAGCTACATTCCAACTTAATATAATTAGTTATACTAATTTAAATACAATTAGAAACAATTATACGGAATGATTATGAGAGAGATATACTCCTACGTCCTAAAACAAACAAAACTGACAGACAAGATATCATTGAGAGGCCTAATGATGTAGCCATGAAGGTGGCCACCGAGGCGAAAATAAAAGGCAGTGGAGGATGAGTTGCACTCCGCCACAATGATATCACTAACACTAATCACTAATCATCCGCTCACCATTAGCACTAATATCATCAAACTTTTTATCACTACTATAATTAGCCAAGCTATTATTTCATCCTCTCCATTTATCATCGGATGGTGATTTGATCCGGGCGTCACCGTTCCAAATCTGTTCGTGTGGGTGTCAGAGAATTACTAGAATAGATGGACCGTGAAGGAAGAACTATATTAT